GACACTTTGGCTAACGCAGAAGCTGGCAACTCAATTTCTGAAGCAATAGGCCGGTTTTCCGAGGCAACCGTTTGATCCATGCCTCCATCCATGTTTTCATTGGATTCTCATTCATCATCCGATAAAAAAGAATTTGTTTACACTAATGATACTCGTGCAATGTGCTTGCGACTACAATAACGACTGGAGTGAAGCTAGAAATTTCGAATGATAGGTGAATTCATATGATGGTTGGAATTGTTTAAAATTGTGATTGAATGGCAACACTACAGAGTAGGATGAAGTAAATTCAACACATAAATGAAACAGGTTGAAATATAATCCATTTTGAAGGGCGATATGATGAGTTGTAGCGGTTAAGGTTGAAGCCTAATCACAGTAGCAGTGTGATTTTAACAACTATCACCAGATTACCAATCTGCTGATTTCAGATACACAGAATTATAAGTTGAAATGAAGAAATGACATCGCATACCAACATCTTTGAACCTTCAGTAAACTCCTTCCTCATCTGACTTCGGTTCTTCTCACGACTGTTACCTACCAAAACAGGATAAAGCCTCTTAATAGTCCGACAAATGGAATTCATTTGAAAACTGTCAGGAGGAACCGGCAAATATTCTTTTCACAAGATATTATTGTGCACGTTTGACGCTAATTCATAATGTGTTTTGATTCATTTATTGCTGCAACGACCACTAAGCTTAGTTACAGAGAAACAGGGGAAAGTGTATTCTCCACATTTTTTATTATGAAAAGCATCAGAGTTTTCATGAATTTTGAGTAGAACCTCTCTTAGTCAACAGGTATGATCTCCATCACTATGGCATGAAAGAAAGTAACAAAGGCAATCAGTTTAATTGCTAAGCATCCAATCATTAGTTTATGAATATTTCGTGAATTCTTCATCTGCCAACCAGCCTTCGAAATATGCCTTGATCTCACAAAATGTTTTTCCCCTCCTTGTTTGGTAGATCTCAAAAGATAATTTGTGCAATGATATATATGCATGTGTCATTAAACCAATTAAGCAGCAACAGAGAATTAATAGACCTAAAAATGCACTATCACACATGATATACGTGGGTTTCAATTTGCTGCATGCAGTAAGGTAGCACCACTAAGTATTTTAGGGCAGTTTACACACTATTTTTTTCATAACATGGGAGTTTCTGCTGTCCGCAGGTGTTCTGCTTATTTTCAGTGTGCTTCCTACACAGTTGATAAGTACCTCATTCAAATGAATGAAATCACACACACACATATAGCTTCACTGAAATGCGAAACTTCAAATGTATAACTCCTGTGTATGTTCAGACCAGAGCAATTTGGAGTGAATTTGCTTGAAGCATAAGGGTCTCTAAATCCTTGATACTGAGATTTCCTACACCACATTCTTTTAACTACTATACCTGAATAACGAGAATAAAAATAACTGAAGATTACTCGTGTTCAACGAGTTTTCTGACTGCATTTTCACATTTATTCACTTGCTACATATGCGTTTCGCCTGAAATGGTATATTCTAGAACATAGTTCACGAAATTACATCGCCTGTTTTACCTTAGTCAGATGACCTCCTTGATGAAATATGTTCCATCAGGCAAAGATAACCACATGTAGTCGATAGTGAACCTACTGAGCTGACCTACTTAGGTTACAGGGATGAAGCACTCAAGAAACACATCAGCACTAAGTTCTGCATACGTTCCTGCATAGAAGTCTGTGAACATTAAATGACAGCTAGAATATGTGACAGAAATAAACCAGGCCGACGTCCTAAAAATATTACGTGAAGTGTTCACATAACAACTCATACATTATGGTGTACCAATAAATCAGTTAACTTGCATTATAAGATGGCAACCGCAGTGAATATCATACCATCCTGCTTACACCCACGAAAGCTAAACAGTTTCAGTCAGCACGAGAAATCAGATTCTGTGAAAGAGGTTATCTGACTAGTCTGCAAACACATTGACTGTAGAAGTAATGAAGCGGTTGTTCTGCTTTAATGTCATTGTGATCTAAAGACCAACTTCTGCTGAATGGGGAAGGTAGCTCCTTAAAATTCACATTATTAACTTCTACGGATTCTGTGAGCAGCGTCAATATAAGCTATGCTGCTTCGTACTAGTTCCCAGAACTCTGAGCAATGCAAATTTTGCAGACGGTGACGCTGAATAAGATGACGCTTTCGAAGTGTTTTCTTTTCATTCGCACTCTGATCAAATCTCAATTCTGCTGTATTTAGAAGATGACCTTCATAGCAGTCATTGTGTAAACCTATTCGTAATCACTTGATCTCTAGGTTGGAAGTTGTTGCTTACAGTTCTGATGAGTGTTGATAACAGACCCACTGTGAGACGAAAAGGAAAGCAGAACCACTTGGTTTTGTGTTCCGTGGACTAGAAGAGTGTAGGCAAACGTGAGTGAAAAGGCCACCTGCAATGAATGTCTCAGTCACCTCACATACCTCAAATGAGTGAAGATATCCGCTAGATGCATTACAAAGGTAGACTTGCTGATTTCGTCTGCGACAACACGACGCTAAGTAAACCTGAGTGTCATGCCATCATTTTCATGTAGAAAGTGAGAAAATAGGTGAGGAAAATGAAATACAAATTGAGGGGACTCACATGAGAACTTGGTGGATGTTCTACTATTGCTACGAATAAATTCTTTGAAATGGTACAAACCAGGAATCCTTAGTTGACTAGGAGATTTTGTGATTCACAAAGACATCCCACGCTGAACATTCATGCGCCTAAATAGTAAAACAAAAGTGAGAGTGTGCAGGTGTCTATGGTTACCTAGGCAGTGAGTGGGTATATTTTAAAGTAGAACAAATGTTAACATGGAAATCAAATTGGAGTGATTTCGCACTGAAGTGCACACAATATCAGGTGAAGTGAATGTGGTATTTGAAATCGATACAATAAATAGAGAGGGGAGATATACTTGAATTAGAAAATGGGAAGGCAAACGTGTACACACAGACTTTGCTGCAGGCAGAAATGAGCACTAGATAGAAGCTGTACCATTGTAGATAACTGTGAACTACTGAGACTACTACTATTTACTTATTGTAAGTAGTACAACTGTAAACATAAAAGTAGCAAGAGAGATATATTTTTCGCAGAATAGATGAATGAAATGAAAATTTTCATACTCATTTGTGAACAATTTCCTAATCTGTTTGCCTCTCAGTTAGCAAGTGGAACTTTCTAGTCTTCAGATGCCGATATGCTAATGTGACACCACATTACCTTTAAATTCTCTTTTCTTTCTTGGAAATAAACCAAGCACTCAAAGTAGTTGAAAACACACCATCGAAAGTTCAGTCTTCTGCTTGCAGCCATCTGCATAACCCCTAAGATGAAATCGGAATTAACCAAAGCTAGGCACAAACGGCTTATCTGGGTTACATGAAGTAAAACAGACTGCGCACACTTTGCTGACGATTTCGCTTCTGAACACAGAGTCATTAACAACTCCCACCTCTCTTTGTTAAACATCAACGCTGCTTACTCACAATCGATTAGTTATGTGATACCTCTCACTGTTAATTTGATTTCAATCTTGGTGCGACACTGTTCGGATAAGGACACGAACATATCAATACATTTATGATAACTTCCGCCTTACAGAATTTCATTTGACTGGACAACGTAGATACACCTCTGTTGTCTTCGATGCAAGTATAGAATCTGGGTAGTGTGGTTCAGTTAAATTGTCTATTGGATTAGTCTGCTTGGTAAAGCTTACAATATTATAGTGTCACTTTCACGATGAAGTTGCTAGCTCACTTTACTGTTCACATTCACACCAACATGATCACACATTGTCCGGTCTCAGATTTTCATATCTGCACTAAAAGATCCGTCTTCGATGTAATTTGTAGTGCAGATTTTCGCATATATGGATTAGATGATGCATCACTCTGGTTGCACTTGAGAAATTTTATGCTGAAGGAAAGCGATTTTATGACGAAAATCCCTTCTTACATAACCATGTTATTCTCTACGACTGATAATCGAACCCATTATGCCACACGTAGATTAAGTGAAAGTTTTCGTCATGATTGATTATATCAGTCAGGTTGCCCAATCTTTGCACTTGATCATTCTAATTTACAGCTGAAATGATGCACCTGAATATCTAGAAGCATGATTTTCTCACCGTCACTAGCTACAAAGTCATTTAAACTGGTCGACGTGTATCCAGAGTACAGACAGTCACAACATATCAAGTAGTCACCATCTCGAATTTCAATCAACCTGGTCACCATCATGCCCACCAGTCAACCACAGTCCATCAGAGTTAAAGCCGCAAACTGTGGAATATGTTTAACCGGTAATAACACAGCGGAATCTATTGACACATACGGCAGGAATGATTTAGCGTACTCCGTTTCCCATAAATGACAAGTTAGCCCAACCGGAATCTTCACCACATCAGTTGGGAAATTCCATTCATATAATACTTTTGAAGCGAGTAAGCAACCGGAGTCTCCTAATGCCTTCAACTATTCGCGGACAAACTAGAACTTGCAGGAATCACAAGTGACACTTCATTTCAAAGATATTCATCACCTTCAGGTAGTCTGAAATCCTACTACATATGAGAAAACGAGAAGTCTAAGAATATCGATTCATTCCATCAAACATGCCTTGTTGCCGCTACGCTGTTTAAATCGAAGGAAGCCACCTCTCGCTAAATTGACAGTTTCCACATATTTACGCCTAACTGCACAATTATAGTGATCACTGACTGCAAACAATCATGACAGCAGACTTGGTAAAAGGGGAAAACACAAGAATGACTGTAATTAAATGCTGCTCGTATTTTCAGTAGTTGGACTACGGTCATATCGAGTAGTTATACATAATCACGTGGACTACCACTCCTACACTGCAGTGAACGTAGTCATCATAACTGATTGCACCTTGATACCTGAAAAGTGGGAGGAGAGAGTTAAAAGAAAATTAACCCTAAACATGAGAGCGAATCGCAGAAAAAGTAAGCGATTGCATACTCAAACTGATCCAAAACCTGGAATGATGTGACTAGTCACTAATATATTGAATCGACGTCACTTTTATAAAATGATTTTCATCATCATGCACTGGTGTAGGAGGTCGTTGTTGAAGCACAGACACACACTCACACACATAAACGACTAGAAGTGAAACTGTAGTCACTGAAACACGTTTCTGATGACGCACACTTAGTTAAGGGCATGGTTGAAGGAACTGATCACAGAGGTTTGAAGAAGTCTGAGTACATCACTTGTGAGGAGTAGGAATCAATGAGAAGTCCCAAGTTGCACTAATATATGCACCAAGACAAACAAACATCTTAGATACCGTTAGTTTCATGTTTTCTAAGGCTGCTATTGGCCTTTATGAATCTTGCTGTTCCTACACCGATTTGGTTTATCCATAACACTTCCAGTTATTCTTTATATCAACCACCTTGTAATACTCAGTTATCAAAAAGTCTCACAACGTCCCTTGTTCGCATCTATAGCATGGTATATTACTCTTCCAATCCCTAATACGATGTGTCGTACACCTAGGTGTATTCGGAAAATGTTTGGGAGCTTTCGCTAGTATTTGAAAGTAATCTAACTTGAGAACACACAATGAGTTGCATACTTTTAGAATAGCTCCATTTTCCCGGAATTGAGCAGTGAGATGTTCGATGGTTTGGATGGCATCCGGCTATTATTTCTCTCCACCTTACTCTTGTTGCAATCATGGACATACACGAAGAGGTCTGTTTTTGTGTCCAGGGGACTTCTCATGGTCACCTCGAAGGAAAATGCCATCATAGGACACCGCGATGAAGAATGAAGTTCTTTCTCATCCTCAAATGTTCACGTGCAACTGATTGATGATGTCACTCTTAGAAATCAAAAGGCGTTATTTCCTACAGATCAGACGCCTGCCGAAAACACATTACAAAACGTTACACCAGTCAGAAACCTGTAGGAGAAAGTAGGATGGAATTTAAGAAATAACCGCATCATATTGAACGGCAAACATCATTAGCGTGACCCAGCAGCAGTTGCTAAACAACTGAATATCTTCATAGAAGTTAGTCAATGAATGCAACTAATTGAATTCATGTGAGAATATAGTTAGTCACTTCGAGACTGTAATAAATGAGATCCAGCAGTTCATCGTTAATCTAAGACGCCGAATGAAGCCAATTTTTGGTAAGTGAGGATGTTGCAATTTATTACCTGAAACTAATAATCCCAGTTGAGTGCATGGCATTCATGAGGCTCATAAACCAGTAATTCCAGTAATTTACGAAAACATCGACATGCATCAAATCCACCTACACACCATTAGTATCATGTCCTGTTAGAAAGCGAAGGAAAGCTAGAAATGAGGTAACTGCTGAACAGCATTCACTTGGGAGGGAATAAGGAAATTATTAGTTTTGATGAGGGAACTTAACAGACCAATGTACTCATGAAAATGAGTGTGGAGGTGGTCAGAAATCAAATGAATAAGGATTTCGAGCTCACACATCCAACAACGGTACCAGTTGACTACTTGACGTCTGCCAGCTTGTCCAGTTCTCAGCTTTGATATAAAAGACGTCTAGGAAGGCAATGTTTCACAATTCGATGAGCTACATCTTTGGTTAGCCTAGATATAATATGGACAGTTATCTGCGCATTACTCTCCAATGTTTATTATCCTTTTCAGAAGGTGTAACACGTATATATATATATATATATATATATATATATATATAATTTTTATTTTTTTTATTTGTCCCTTGGGTTCCTAATGGAACCATAGGGCTTCAGTAGCACGTCTCCATTCCACTCTGTTCTCTGAAATCTTTTGAACCTGGCTCCACGACAGCCCAGAATCTCTCATTTCTTCCTCACACAATCTCCTACATGTCACCCTCGCCTCGGATGTCCAACTCGTCGCTTCCCATGGAGATTCCGCTCGAGGGCCTGACGCGTGATGTCCCCAGTCGGCCTTCTCAGTGTATACCCAATCCAATCTTGGTTGGTTCGTTACCCGGCCAGAGTTTCTTGCTGCTTATTCTTATTGCCCTGGTCTTCTGATCTTCACTATTGAGCGTAAAAGGTTGTTGATGAATGTCTGTAGTTTGTTGGAAATCCCTTTCGTAACGCGCCAAGTCTCTGAACCATGCAGAAGCACTGACTTGACGTCGGTGTTGAAAATCCGCATCTTGTTCCACATGCTAAATGCAGAAGATCTACACACTGGCTTCAGGCTAATGAAAGCCTGCCTTGCTTTTCCGATTCTGACTTCGACCTCCTCGTCAGTGCCACCAGTAGTTAAGACTGTGCTGCCTAGATAAGTGAAAGAGACTACTTCCTTCAAGTTTCTCCCATTGATGGTCATTGGTATTTGTTGTTGTTGGTGGTGGTGGTGTTGGTTGGGCATCTTCACCACCTCTGTCTTCTCTACATTCACCTGAATTCTGGTCTTCGCTGCCTCGCCTCTTCTGTCAACTTGTTAGTTTTCGCCTGTAGATCCCCGGGTTTGTATGGCATTAGACACAAGTCATCGGCGAAATCCGAGTCTTCTAGATTCTTTTCCGCGGTCCAGTGTATCCCCCTCTCCTCGCTTCTCACTGTTTGTTGCATGATTCAGTCGACCACAATCAGGAATATCATGGGTGGTAGTGGGGAGCTTTGTCTTACCCCTGTCTTCACTTCAAAGGCATCACTGAGCTAACCGGTGTGAATTACTCCGCATGTGGCATCTTCATATAGTTGTTCAATGAGGCTGATAAAAATTTATCATGTTCCGTAGTGTCGAAGCAGTTTCCAAATTACTTGTCGGTTGCACTGTCAAAGGCCTTTTCAAAGTCGATGAAGTTGAGGTATAGTTGAGTTGGCTGCCATTCTATGCTCTGTTCTATGATTATGTGTAGTGCAGCGTTGAAATTTGGTCCGCACATGATTTGTACTTCCTGAATTCAGCCAGCCTGTTCCGGTAGTAGTTTTGAATCCAGTACATCATCTAGTCTCTCCAAGATGCTGTGGCTTAATATTTTGCTTGCTATGGGTGGACAGGGACAGGAGCATGATTTCACGCCAGATCTTGCAGACTTAGGTCACCCTTCTTCGGGAGTTTGACAAGGTAACCCTTCTTCCAATCAGTGGCCAGTTACCTTCCCTTCCTCCTACACCTTCTGCAATAGTGGTGTGAACATGTCTGCTGTTATCTCTGCATCTGTTCTCAGTGCTTCTGGTGGGATCCCATCTGGTCATGTTGCTTTCCCACATTTCAGCAGCTTTATGGTATTCAAAAATTCAACTTTCTTCGGAGGATTTATGTTCACTTGTAGTTCTGTGGCTGGGCTGCAGATGGTATATCTGGACGGAGTGCAGGTGGTGGTCGATTCAAGAGCTTTTTGAAGTGGTCAGACCATCGTTTCTCTTGTTTCTCTTCTTTGGTGATTATATTTCCTTCATCATCTTTTATTGGCTTCGTCTGTGTTGATCTCTTCCCTCCCAGATAGTAACCTGGTTATTTGATATAATGTTGTCAGGTCTCTCCTACCAGCTGGCAGCCTGTTCTGCTTCACTTGCCAGTGTTTCATAGAAGTGTCTTTTGTCTTTGCGTGCACTCTTCTTCACTTCTTTGTCCAGTGTTTTAAAAAATCGTACTCAGATCCTCTTCTCGTTGTGCATCCTTGCACTGGCTTATCTTCTGCTTCACCAGCCTCCTCTCCCTCCTCTATCACCTTCCATGCGTCCATTGAGATTCATTCCTTGTCCTGTCTTCTTTCTTCTTTCTTCCTAATACGGCTGTGCAGGTTTCTTTCTACATCTCTTTCAAAGACTTCCAGTGTTCTTCCACACAGGTTTCTTCAGGGATGTTCCCCGATATCTCCCATTTTGTCTTGATGACTGCCGTGAAGATGTCCTCTGTAGTTTCGTCGTTCAGTTTCCGAGTGTTGTACTTGAACTGTGGTCGTCTATCAGCAACTTCCTCGAAGGCTTTCAACTTGATTTGGAAGGTTCCTTGCACTAGACAGTGAGTGTTGTGAACCTACATCTGCTCCTCTTCTTGACCTTGTGTCAAGTAGACTGAGTATCCATTTTCTCGAGATTGAGATAAAGTCGGTCTGATTTCTAGTGTGTCCATCTGGTGAAATCCATGTCACTGACTTGTGGATATCCTTGTGCTTGAACACACTGCCTCACTCCAATCACCTAATCGTTGAATGCACAGAATCGTGCAAACAATTTTCCATTTTCGTTCATTTCGCCTAGCGCTTCTCGGCCCATGATTTGTTCTCTTCCTGTGTTGTCCACTCCCACTTTGGCATTCATGTCGCCCATAAGAATTTCAATGTCGTCAACTGAGGAGGTGCCTTGTCCAGTGTTGATTGCAGTTGTCTGTAGAATTACACCTTCTTCTCTTCATCTGCATTATTTGTAGGTGCACAGTGTAGCATTGTATGATTATGGCCTTCCTTCCTTCCTTTTGAGTTGAACCCTGCTGTCATGATCCTGATCTCGTAGCAGGAGATTGGTTCCCACTGTATGAGAGAGAGTCTTCGATGCTGTTGGAGACATCATGATAGTCACTCCATAACTCATTGTGCTCGTGGTTGTCACCTGGTTAACAATATCGGAGTGGATTATTGACTCCTCTCCAGTTGACACTTTGGAGAGTCCACTTCCATTCTACCTGCCTTCGCGGATTTTCAACCTGGCACTTCCATGCTATACCTTCTCATTTCTTTTGCAATCTGGGCAACCTTTCTAGGTTCATGCATAGTGCAGACCTTCCATGTCCCCACTCTTACTTTTGGTTTCATCCAGAGAAGAAAAGACACATTGGCCACTTGGCTTTCCGAAGGCTTTCACCAACCGGCATCATTTTGCCTCTCCGATTCCAGTGAGGAATAATTTTGTTTTTATGTTTTATATTTTGTCTGTGCTTTGAAGTTTCTGTAGCGATTGGATTGGTTTTACGGTGTGGAGTTGCTAGCCCTATGCCTAACCTTCCCTCTTTACCCGGGCTTAGGACCGGCTAGTAACTAGTGGACTAGTTAACCAGGCGAGGTTATATATATGTAAATAACAAATCCTGTTAGTCAGAATCTAAGCAATTGCATGGTTCGTCCACGCAAATCCACTCAATGCTTGGGGGGATTCTGTGTATTTCCGAACTAAACAATGTAACATTTGTGTTAACTTTTATACACTCCAAATAAATGGGAGACCAAACAAGCACTTTAAAAGCCAGTGTTTACAGTCAACTCTCTCTATGTAATGGATGCAGAAGTTAGGTCACCACATTTACCATTACTACATGCAATCCCGATGACTGAGCGGATATAGTGTACGGAGGGTGACAATGTATGCTTGCTTCGTGAAATCCACATTTGGCACATGAAAGAGGAATGAACTTATGTCTATCATGGAGAAACGAATTCTGCAGTCGATGAGGCTGAAAAAAGAAAAACCATAAGCCTTAGAAATAAATAAGAATAAGAATAAATATGTGACTATGAGATATAAAATGCACTCGAAATCTAATCAAGAGAATGAATACTCATCAACTCTCAAATATGATAAGACTCATTGCTGAATCAGACCGTAGCAATGCCTTGCATCTATACTCACATGAATGAAAACATTTTCCTCCATGTACATATTTATGCAACACGGGACTTCTCATTGATTCCTACTCCTCACAAGTGATGTACTCAGACTTCTTCAAACCTCTGTGATCAGTTCCTTCAACCATGCCCTTAACTAAGTGTGCGTCATCAGAAACGTGTTTCAGTGACTACAGTTTCACTTCTAGTCGTTTATGTGTGTGAGTGTGTGTCTGTGCTTCAACAACGACCTCCTACACCAGTGCATGATGATGAAAATCATTTTATAAAAGTGACGTCGATTCAATATATCAATGACTGGTCATATCACGCTAACCGTGAGATGTCAGTGGACAGGCAACTCAGTGCAAACCACTGATCGACTTTCGATGGGAAATTTCTGTGATCCATACAACAACCCATTACTCATACTCCTATATAAATGACAAAGCTTATCAATGAGCAGTTCCTACCTTCACAATGAACATTCTTATGGTAAGTACTTATCAGGCATACAGAAAAGAACTGCATACTGATGACTGCATTGCTCCTTCCAGCTTATCGCCCCTATAAGCTAGTTAATTTTTACGTCACTGAATGCGAAATGGGCAACTGTTAGCTGAATGGGAATCACAGAGTGTTCTGGTGTCATTGCTTTTCCCTCCTCACAAGGAAGTTATTAGTAGCCCAAATCATGGATTTAAGGATACACTTTTACATTCCCACGCCATTAATCCACACTCATTGCACACCATCTTTGTGTTCAGTAAAGAAAACATGGACAGCGATTTGATGCTATTCACAGTATCAACCGTGTATTCGTGGTTTTCAGTAAAAGTGATATGACTATCACAGAGATGTTTTGAAGAACCATCGTCGACCTTGAAGTGAACAAAAAATGAGAACGGATTGGCTGGTGGATCTGTTGATTAACAGACCCATGTACTCATGAAATTCACTCAGCTCAGTATCGTTCCGTCTAAATGAACAGATGAAAAGAGTTAAGTGACACTTGAAGACAGCATTCGCCTTCACAAGACATTGGTGTTATTCGACGAACTTGAATAAGTCAGGTGATATATACCAGTGAATCCGATTTCTCAGAGTTTGAAAACTTTCACTTAGCTACTTTCCAATTACATGGCATGGCAAAATATTCACATTGAAAAGTGGACGAAGAGGAAAATCAAATGTGTGCGTCTTCGAGAGGCTATAAACCTGGTTGATCACAGAGTCAGTAGCTTTCAATTATTTGAGGAGATCACTATCAATGATCGACTCACTTCCATCCACCCCGTAATTTCAGTAATTTAAAGGTCTTTATAAACTATCCCAATCAAGAATACGGATACTGACCAACTTTTGCTCAGCTGGTTCAGTTGCACCTCTCTGAACAGCTTCTTTTGAAAATGTGTTTATGACAGGCAGTATGGGAGAAGACATAGCAACATAATCATGCCAGTCAACAAGCACGATAACAGCAACTTCATCAGAATAAACCACCAACAAACCAACATCTCCAAAGAGGTTGATTACTTTGGGTATGTTCCCATTCAATAATAGTCTTCTAGTTTTCGATTCGATGTAAGTGTACTCATAGCACCACTTTCAGTTGATTTATTGAACGCGTCACACAGTAAAATCATATAATTTACTGGATTACTTTTCGACAGAAATTAATTTCCATTTTCATATCAAGATTACTCCAAGGCCTCGAGTTATCATTTGCATACTTCTGATTATCTCTCCTTCTTCGTCATGTAGTCAAGCAGAATTTTTCACACATCTAGAGCAGCCGTGGAATGATTCCCGCTCCACCTGTCCGCTTGCATTCAATAAACAAGCATTCACGTACCATCACCCCTCCACTTTACTGCGCCAAACTTTGCGTCATGCATGGCGAAGTAGATAAATACTCATCACATATCACATCCAGGGCTGTCTACTCAATTATTTGTGTATATTAAGACAGGCACCCTCTAAGGACTGATGAACGGGCTTTTATGCAATTCCTGAACATATTCCACAAGACTTGAAATGAACTAGAAACGAATTCCAATAACTGAGAAAATATTCATATCTGCAATGTCTTGTTACATAAAGGTCACTGCCGACAGAAGCTTAACATATATCTTTACAATTGGGAAGGGATCAGTGGTAAATGTACAACTGCTTTGACAAATGTTTATGCATGTCTTAATTCAGCCTTTTGTTTTTCATACTAACTACGACTATAACTCAGTGAGTAGGGTGAAATATTCCTCCTTGTTTCCCATTACTCTCACACTCCTGATTATTATTATAATTGGTATATTACCAACTACGTAGTAAAGAATATTCTGGAGTCGTCATTTTTTTTAAAAGTGACAGAATTTGCACTTATGCGAAATTCAGTTTTCAAAGTTATATAGGATATTTTACTAGTGAAGAGAAAGCAGAGAAATATATTGAGTTCGTCGACACGTCACAGGCATGTTTATTCTTGCTTTACTCAATATGTACTTGTGACAGTGAATCATACTGACTAAAAACAAAGGTTTTTTAACAAGATCCAGTCAATATTTTACAAGCTCACCTACAAAATTATTTCAAAAAGACGACAATTTTCTGTAGACATCATGAGTTAAACTCGACACAGTCTGACAGTGTTGTTTCTGGAATATTCAAATAGTTTCCACCTCATATGCCAATAGAATTTTGAAATGTGTACAATATGAAAATGTGTATATCAGCCTCACTATCAAATAGGGCATCAGTAATTACACTGCCAAATGTGCATGCATAATTCAATCTCATATTACACTCTCTTCAAGTGGGAATTTTGTCATTACTCATCCGGTTTCGGATATAAATTCTACTTCTGTGAGGTTCGGATTTTCACCCACGTTCTGTCCATGTGACCGGTTAATGGATAGAAGTTTGTTGTCCATCACCACCCACCACTATCAAAATAGAACCAGGCATTACTGAGTAACGGTTCGAGTTGCTACAGCTTATCCTATATCAGTACACCAAGTAAAAAGGCAGTGAAGTGGAAGATGAAAATAAGGGAATTCACTCAAAAGAAATATGAAGCACGAAAAGAGAGAAAGGAAGAATGAGAAAATGGTGAAATTCGGTATAGCGTCGTTAAAATGAGGATAATCTGTGTATACATCTGCGCCACTGATATCGGCTTTCAGCCATATCACATCGAAAAAATTCAGTAATTCGATACTTTCATGTACACGTTGTCATTCTTCATGAGAACTGGAACAAATTGTACAGACTGATCTTTTCCTGGGCTTTTAAAATTGGCATGACAGCTTTTTGATGTAACCACATCATGCGAACCCATAAAATGAACAGATGTAATATTACTATGCTCCAGCATTTGTGCTTACTGTGTTCGAATAAAGCTATCTCCTACATCATATGAAGAACACAGACTAAAATGAGAATGACGGTGATTGTTCAAACCTTAAGCATAAGAATAGTTGACTGTGGAAAAAACATAATGTTGGAGTAATGGAAAATAAAAAAGTGAAGTGAAGGTCAAATCACAGATATCATCCAAAAATACCAAAATATTTGCATGTACATGATTGGAATGACCGTCTGAAAAGGTAGATATGCAAGAAAATCAAATATGAGACATACTGCTAATTGACTTAAGAAACAAAAGGTGCTACATATATATTCATGCCAATAGACGAAATTGGAATTTATAAAAATAGTGTTCATCCAAGTGTAATTATGAACACCAAACAAGTGAGCTGGTGAGCAATGACATTTTTACACTATATTATTTTCCTAAATATTTGAGAATTTTTAAAAAGACAGTCTTAGTAGTTCTTAACTTCAACCTGACCTACTGGACTTCAGTAGGCTGTTCTCAACTAATTTGTTCTAAAATGGTTCGAACGAATGCACTCGCTGATAAACGGAGTCAAGACTAATGTGGCTATTGGCTCAAACCATGTCAAGAACGAGGATTTCCGTAGTTCTCAGTCTTCACACCATTTTGTATTAGGACTAGTCTGACTAAATAAACCTATATCACATAGTACTATGAAAAATGGCGCAAACATATTTTTGTTCTTTCTCTTCAAGTGCACCGCAGATTAACTAAAAATTGGAAGGATGAAAATAACAAACGTGTGATATACACTTGTGACAGTTTACATAAAAAGTGACAGTACAAAGATCAGAAAATACTCGCATTTTTTACTGGCTACCTGCTAGTTGATTGTGATCCGTGAATTTTTTAGACTGGCTTTTTATTGCATCAGCTTCAAGTAGTCCGTCAACAACTCTACACATTACCTCATACTATGTATGTGAACAAAGGTCTTTTAGATCATTTAAAGTATCTATTAGTCGTCGTTCAATAGCCAGATGAGGAGGATGAAAGCACTGTTGTTGTTCAGTATTGTGGCTGCTTTGGCTGTTGGACAGCAGATAGATATTGAGTTGGAAGAAATCTGGAAACAATGGAAATCGAAATATAACAAAGCATATACTTCAGATGATGAGGTGAAAAGACGAGCTGTTTTCCTGAAACGCGTTGCCAGAATTCGGGAGCACAACTTGAGGCACGATCTGGGTTTGGAAGGATATACAATGGGTCTAAATGGATTTAGTGACATGGAATGGGAAGAAATAGAGGCAGTCATGTTTCCAAAGACCTTTGGCAACAATCCGTCATGGAATGATAAAGAGGAATTAGAACTGTCCGACAAGCCATTGCCGGCAAAATGGGACTGGCGGGATCATGGTGTGGTCACTCCAGTGAAAAATCAAGTATGTGTGAAACATTAAATGACCAGATATCTTAGGGAAGTTGTGGATCCTGCTGGGCGTTCTCAGCCTGTGGAGCGATCGAGGGTCAGCTGAAGAAGAAGCACAAGAAGCTGACAAGCCTCTCGGAGCAACAACTCGTTGACTGTAGCTATGATTATGGAAATCAGGGCTGTGATGGTGGCTTGATGGACCAAGCATTCACATATGTAGAGAAATATGGTATTGAAACAGAAAACGACTACAGATATAAAGCAAAAGTAAGTCAGATTTTCTCTCTTTCGTTATACATGTGTTATCATCTGAACGTTTTCACCTACACTTTCTGCATTCAATTAAATGTTTTCAGGATACCAAGTGTCATTATCGCGAATCAAAGATAGTTGTTAAGGTGAAGAAATTCGTTGACCTACCGTCTGGAGATGAGAAGAAATTGCAACAAGCCCTTCGACAACATGGGCCAATTTCAGTTGCCATCGATGCATTGGACGACCTATTCATGTACGAGTAAGTGATGCCAGTTATTGATAAAATTGACAAATTTTTACGACCTCTTAAATAAAGTATCTTGAAATTCATATACTACCGAACTGCACCACATTTATCAATACTACATCCTACATCAAATCAGCAAATGTGATACACAGTCACATTCTACTTAAATTTCCATGTTCTACTCTTACGTTTCAAATTTATTCGTGCTGTGTAAAAAAAAAAGGTCTAGTGAAGTAGTACAACTGTAAACATAAAAGTAGCAAGAGAGATATATTTTTCGCAGAATAGATGAATGAAATGAAAATTTTCATACTCATTTGTGAACAATTTCCTAATCTGTTTGCCTCTCAGTTAGCAAGTGGAACTTTCTAGTCTTCAGATGCCGATATGCTAATGTGACACCACATTACCTTTAAATTCTCTTTTCTTTCTTGGAAATAAACCAAGCACTCAAAGTAGTTGAAAACACACCATCGAAAGTTCAGTCTTCTGCTTGCAGCCATCTGCATAACCCCTAAGATGAAATCGGAATTAACCAAAGCTAGGCACAAACGGCTTATCTGGGTTACATGAAGTAAAACAGACTGCGCACACTTTGCTGACGATTTCGCTTCTGAACACAGAGTCATTAACAACTCCCACCTCTCTTTGTTAAACATCAACGCTGCTTACTCACAATCGATTAGTTATGTGATACCTCTCACTGTTAATTTGATTTCAATCTTGGTGCGACACTGTTCGGATAAGGACACGAACATATCAATACATTTATGATAACTTCCGCCTTACAGAATTTCATTTGACTGGACAACGTAGATACACCTCTGTTGTCTTCGATGCAAGTATAGAATCTGGGTAGTGTGGTTCAGTTAAATTGTCTATTGGATTAGTCTGCTTGGTAAAGCTTACAATATTATAGTGTCACTTTCACGATGAAGTTGCTAGCTCACTTTACTGTTCACATTCACACCAACATGATCACACATTGTCCGGTCTCAGATTTTCATATCTGCACTAAAAGATCCGTCTTCGATGTAATTTGTAGTGCAGATTTTCGCATATATGGATTAGATGATGCATCACTCTGGTTGCACTTGAGAAATTTTATGCTGAAGGAAAGCGATTTTATGACGAAAATCCCTTCTTACATAACCATGTTATTCTCTACGACTGATAATCGAACCCATTATGCCACACGTAGATTAAGTGAAAGTTTTCGTCATGATTGATTATATCAGTCAGGTTGCCCAATCTTTGCACTTGATCATTCTAATTTACAGCTGAAATGATGCACCTGAATATCTAGAAGCATGATTTTCTCACCGTCACTAGCTACAAAGTCATTTAAACTGGTCGACGTGTATCCAGAGTACAGACAGTCACAACATATCAAGTAGTCACCATCTCGAATTTCAATCAACCTGGTCACCATCATGCCCACCAGTCAACCACAGTCCATCAGAGTTAAAGCCGCAAACTGTGGAATATGTTTAACCGGTAATAACACAGCGGAATCTATTGACACATACGGCAGGAATGATTTAGCGTACTCCGTTTCCCATAAATGACAAGTTAGCCCAACCGGAATCTTCACCACATCAGTTGGGAAATTCCATTCATATAATACTTTTGAAGCGAGTAAGCAACCGGAGTCTCCTAATGCCTTCAACTATTCGCGGACAAACTAGAACTTGCAGGAATCACAAGTGACACTTCATTTCAAAGATATTCATCACCTTCAGGTAGTCTGAAATCCTACTACATATGAGAAAACGAGAAGTCTAAGAATATCGATTCATTCCATCAAACATGCCTTGTTGCCGCTACGCTGTTTAAATCGAAGGAAGCCACCTCTCGCTAAATTGACAGTTTCCACATATTTACGCCTAACTGCACAATATTAGTGATCACTGACTGCAAACAATCATGACAGCAGACTGGTTAAAAGGGGAAAACACAAGAATTACTGTAATTAAATGCTGCTCGTATTTTCAGTAGTTGGACTACGGTCATATCGAGTAGTTATACATAATCACGTGGACTACCACTCCTACACTGCAGTGAACGTAGTCATCATAACTGATTGCACCTTGATACCTGAAAAGTGGGAGGAGAGAGTTAAAAGAAAATTAACCCTAAACATGAGAGCGAATCGCAGAAAAAGTAAGCGATTGCATACTCAAACTGATCCAAAACCTGGAATGATGTGACTAGTCACTAATATATTGAATCGACGTCACTTTTATAAAATGATTTTCATCATCATGCACTGGTGTAGGAGGTCGTTGTTGAAGCACAGACACACACTCACACACATAAACGACTAGAAGTGAAACTGTAGTCACTGAAACACGTTTCTGATGACGCACACTTAGTTAAGGGCATGGTTGAAGGAACTGATCACAGAGGTTTGAAGAAGTCTGAGTACATCACTTGTGAGGAGTAGGAATCAATGAGAAGTCCCAAGTTGCACTAATATATGCACCAAGACAAACAAACATCTTAGATACCGTTAGTTTCATGTTTTCTAAGGCTGCTATTGGCCTTTATGAATCTTGCTGTTCCTACACCGATTTGGTTTATCCATAACACTTCCAGTTATTCTTTATATCAACCACCTTGTAATACTCAGTTATCAAAAAGTCTCACAACGTCCCTTGTTCGCATCTATAGCATGGTATATTACTCTTCCAATCCCTAATACGATGTGTCGTACACCTAGGTGTATTCGGAAAATGTTTGGGAGCTTTCGCTAGTATTTGAAAGTAATCTAACTTGAGAACACACAATGAGTTGCATACTTTTAGAATAGCTCCATTTTCCCGGAATTGAGCAGTGAGATGTTCGATGGTGTGGATGGCATCCGGCTATTATTTCTCTCCACCTTACTCTTGTTGCAATCATGGACATACACGAAGAGGTCTGTTTTTGTGTCCAGGGGACTTCTCATGGTCACCTCGAAGGAAAATGCCATCATAGGACACCGCGATGAAGAATGAAGTTCTTTCTCATCCTCAAATGTTCACGTGCAACTGATTGATGATGTCACTCTTAGAAATCAAAAGGCGTTATTTCCTACAGATCAGACGCCTGCCGAAAACACATTACAAAACGTTACACCAGTCAGAAACCTGTAGGAGAAAGTAGGATGGAATTTAAGAAATAACCGCATCATATTGAACGGCAAACATCATTAGCGTGACCCAGCAGCAGTTGCTAAACAACTGAATATCTTCATAGAAGTTAGTCAATGAATGCAACTAATTGAATTCATGTGAGAATATAGTTAGTCACTTCGAGACTGTAATAAATGAGATCCAGCAGTTCATCGTTAATCTAAGACGCCGAATGAAGCCAATTTTTGGTAAGTGAGGATGTTGCAATTTATTACCTGAAACTAATAATCCCAGTTGAGTGCATGGCATTCATGAGGCTCATAAACCAGTAATTCCAGTAATTTACGAAAACATCGACATGCATCAAATCCACCTACACACCATTAGTATCATGTCCTGTTAGAAAGCGAAGGAAAGCTAGAAATGAGGTAACTGCTGAACAGCATTCACTTGGGAGGGAATAAGGAAATTATTAGTTTTGATGAGGGAACTTAACAGACCAATGTACTCATGAAAATGAGTGTGGAGGTGGTCAGAAATCAAATGAATAAGGATTTCGAGCTCACACATCCAACAACGGTACCAGTTGACTACTTGACGTCTGCCAGCTTGTCCAGTTCTCAGCTTTGATATAAAAGACGTCTAGGAAGGCAATGTTTCACAATTCGATGAGCTACATCTTTGGTTAGCCTAGATATAATATGGACAGTTATCTGCGCATTACTCTCCAATGTTTATTATCCTTTTCAGAAGGTGTAACACGTATATATATATATATATATATATATATATATATATAATTTTTATTTTTTTTATTTGTCCCTTGGGTTCCTAATGGAACCATAGGGCTTCAGTAGCACGTCTCCATTCCACTCTGTTCTCTGAAATCTTTTGAACCTGGCTCCACGACAGCCCAGAATCTCTCATTTCTTCCTCACACAATCTCCTACATGTCACCCTCGCCTCGGATGTCCAACTCGTCGCTTCCCATGGAGATTCCGCTCGAGGGCCTGACGCGTGATGTCCCCAGTCGGCCTTCTCAGTGTATACCCAATCCAATCTTGGTTGGTTCGTTACCCGGCCAGAGTTTCTTGCTGCTTATTCTTATTGCCCTGGTCTTCTGATCTTCACTATTGAGCGTAAAAGGTTGTTGATGAATGTCTGTAGTTTGTTGGAAATCCCTTTCGTAACGCGCCAAGTCTCTGAACCATGCAGAAGCACTGACTTGACGTCGGTGTTGAAAATCCGCATCTTGTTCCACATGCTAAATGCAGAAGATCTACACACTGGCTTCAGGCTAATGAAAGCCTGCCTTGCTTTTCCGATTCTGACTTCGACCTCCTCGTCAGTGCCACCAGTAGTTAAGACTGTGCTGCCTAGATAAGTGAAAGAGACTACTTCCTTCAAGTTTCTCCCATTGATGGTCATTGGTATTTGTTGTTGTTGGTGGTGGTGGTGTTGGTTGGGCATCTTCACCACCTCTGTCTTCTCTACATTCACCTGAATTCTGGTCTTCGCTGCCTCGCCTCTTCTGTCAACTTGTTAGTTTTCGCCTGTAGATCCCCGGGTTTGTATGGCATTAGACACAAGTCATCGGCGAAATCCGAGTCTTCTAGATTCTTTTCCGCGGTCCAGTGTATCCCCCTCTCCTCGCTTCTCACTGTTTGTTGCATGATTCAGTCGACCACAATCAGGAATATCATGGGTGGTAGTGGGGAGCTTTGTCTTACCCCTGTCTTCACTTCAAAGGCATCACTGAGCTAACCGGTGTGAATTACTCCGCATGTGGCATCTTCATATAGTTGTTCAATGAGGCTGATAAAAATTTATCATGTTCCGTAGTGTCGAAGCAGTTTCCAAATTACTTGTCGGTTGCACTGTCAAAGGCCTTTTCAA